AATATATAACATCTACGTGTCCTACGTGTTAGTTTTATAGTATTAACTTCAGGTAAATCCATTTCTCCTAAAACCAAATCCAAACTTGTTTAATTTTATACATACGTTCATGCCAAATCCTACTTTCCCAATATACTTTTATATAAATTAAGAACAAAATATTCATGTAATATATCAAAGTGTGTGCTATGGGATATCTTCGTGTAAAGAATTATTAACTCCCACATTGAATATATATTAATGACTGGTCAGAAAATGTCCAATATTACTAATAGACATGTTGTACCATATTAATGCAATACTCTCTCCAGCTGTCCTGGACAATTTCAAGCGAAAAGGACACTCAAACTTTTATACATATATTTCTATAAAAAGAGGATTTGGGTGTTAAAACTAGTAATTTTCTTTTTTAACCTCTCAAAAATTGATAAATTCTAACTATGTCATTATCTCTAATTAATCTTTCATAAAATAAATATAACCTCTTGTTAATTATGCACCTCCTCACCTTCCTAAATAATTATATTTATCAATATTTAATATTATAATTATTAATTGTTTAATAATAATAAAATAAAATTATTGATAAAATAAGTATATACAATTATTAGTAGTAACCAATTAAATTATTATAAAAATTATTTATGAATTACAATAAAATAACTAAAACAATAGTATACATAGAATAATATATTGCCAAATACTATTAAGAATTATACTATAATTCAATAAGCAATAAAATAAATAGAATAAAATTTAAATTGCTTATATACTGTACTTTTTTAATAATATCACATAAATCATGAATTATACTATTTATTTAGAATTATATAATTAAATATATTAAATAAATAATTTTATTTTATTTTTAAAGCATTTTCTCAAAGATTATACATGATACTAAATAATCTATACGTGGTAATGATTGGAAACTAACCTTTTAAAAAAAACTATTTAATATTAATAATAATATTGTTAATTGTTAATGATAGCACAAAAATTTTTTATTAAATATTCATAGTACTAAATTATTTAAGAGCATAGTTAAAAAACTAAATTAAATAAATATTTTGTAGTATAATGACAGTATAATTATTTTAATAACATCACTTGAACTAAGAACTTTAATATTAAATAAAGTAAATTAGAGTAAACCCTTATGAACTTTCAGTATTTTGTAGTAAATAAACCCTATTAATTTCAAAATCACACTAAACCCCTAAAGTCCGCATTATCTTTTAGATAAATTACACCAAACCCCCACTAACTTTCAAAATGCCTTTATATATATTGAGCTACATTGTGGATGCTTTAAATAATCATCTAATGACGCGGCCTAAAATCATATGATTGAGCTACATTGTTGATGATCCGCTTTTTTAAACTTGCTCTACATATTCTAAAATCCTAACACACCAAGTTTGGGAACCCATCATCGTTTGACCCTCCGTCGAGCCATGAGAAAAGTTCTATTCATTCAAAACCGTTAAATTTGATATGAGTGGATGAAGGATCAAACGACGACGGGTTCACCCTAAACTTAGTGTGTTAGGGTTTTGGAATATGTAGATCAAGTTCAACGGAGCAGATCATCCATAATATAGCTCAATCATGTGATTTTAGGCCGCGTCCTTAGATGATTATCTAAGGCGTCACCTTAGGAACACTTATCTCATATATATATATATATATATATATATATATGAGTT